GAGGAAGGGGGACCTTTTCTCGCTCATTCGTTATCATAATAGCGCAAAATTGTCTTGTTGCTCCTGACTATTCCTGCCTTCTTTGCTCATCCTGAAGTAACTGAAATTTTGTATTAGTAATTTGCTCGGTTTTGGAGCCATAATATCAGTCTGAGCTGACTAGATAAAAAAAAATCTGGTCAAAAAAACTGCGCACATATGGTAGCTTTACTAAGAAAGGGGGTAACCGCCTTTTTGGGTAGAAGGGAAAGGCGTTATTGTAAATCGTAATTGTGCGCAAGTAGCAACGCACACCGAAGTAATCGGTGCGATAACGTGCTTAGCGCAAATCTTGAAACAGTCAAGTCATAAAAGTATGAGTGGTTGTTGCTTTACAGTTTAACAATGCGCACTCATGTTGGCAGTGTTTTTGGCCTTCTGCTACAAGCGGTGGGACAGGGGCGTCAGCTTACGGCCGGGACATAGCTTTGCATCCCGGAATCGAGTGAAATAACTTCCAGCGTGTACCATTATCACGAATTTTGCATATGTGTATTGCCAGCAAAACGCGTTATCAGTTTTGCCCTTATTCGTGCACAAAACTTAGGCATTTGTAAAAGCTGATTTTATGCATTTAGTGGCGTGCAAAATACGCCAGCATATTTCCGCTTTCTTGTCTGTATGATTACCGAGAAAGAACGGTGGCAGAAATTTTGCAATATGAACATCTGACGAGTCCGTGTCACGGGAAACGCGCAGAAGTAGAAACTATTTTGAGCAGTCAAGCTTGCACGTGGGTATCGCACATTCTCACAAAATTGCATCTTCCTATTCATTTGACTGCAAAGTAAACTGTTGCCAAATTTGTTAAGACTAGCGTATGAAGCGGGTTTGTCTAGTTTTTCCAAGCTTTCTAGTTTGTCTGATTCCTGAAATTACCACTTTGCTACAATTATTTTTGGCGCATCCTAACGTAGGGTATACGAGACCTCACAAAGTTATATTAACTTTTTCCGACTAACTCCCGGGTTGGTACCATGGACTTTGATGTGTTCGCATACCCGGGCAAAATTTTTAGATTGTACATGGACAATGAAAATCATTGCAAAGTTTCAATCTTCTGTGTTGACCGATTTTCAGGATAACTTCCGCCTAAAAAATCCACGTGTTTTCTTTCGGGCGTCCGTATGAAAAATTTAGGCGTGCGTGGAAGTTGGTTTTAATAAATGAGGATGGGAATTGGCGTAAGAATATGTCCCTAAGTTTTTGACTTCCAAGCCTTTCCCGTTACCGAGTTGAAAGTAGGTGATAAAGTTCATTCGCCCCTGAACACAAATACGCAATCAGAACCTCTTAACGATATGAGTTTTTGCGTTTGCATAAATATGCAAAAACGCATAAAAATTAGAAGAATGAGCACAAAATACAGCGCAAAGGCAAAGCGCAGGCGGTGGGAAGCAGAATTTAACCAGTTTCGTCAGACAACGGAATATTTTAATGCTTCTTTGATTAAATCAAATAAAACACTGAAGATGAGCTAGCGGCATAATCAAAAAAACAGACTGCCTGACTTTTCTGCGTAAAAGACTAAAAATGCCACATTTAGTGCAAGAAAGCAAAAAGGAAAGCTAGTCGAAGCAATAATGTACACCTTATGAAACACTGATGATTTTGAATGACGCGCCACATGACTGATAATCCTGCCGTACTTTTTTACTGTTCCATCACTTCCATCACTCCGAAGTTGTTATCTCTGTGTACTGAAATACGTACTTTTTAGAAGCCGATATTCAAGCCGATGCCAATCCCGGTACCACAACCAGTTCCTGAAATAATTAGTCAGCCAATGCCTATACCAATAAATGTTCAACCGCCATTAATGAACACCTGTTGCGTTGGATGCCCTAATCCGTGCAGTTTTCGGAGAAAAAGGGATACTCCTGGAATGTCTTCGAATAGTACTGTCTTAAAAGAAGATCCGGTTTGCAACAACACGCTGCTCAAAAAAATAATGGCAAAGGTTAGGATTTTTTGGAGTACTTTTTGCTCTTCATGGAATGAAAGAAAACGAATATCAGAATTGCCAAAAGGCTGGCCACCTCGCAATGTAATGTTAATGGAAAACACGGATTACAATTTACGTCCAGTTTTCCTCACTTCTCTTTTCCCCAACAAGCTGTTTCGACAGCTTCTCAGGGCACAAACAGGACTCTACCATATAACTCTGAATGCACAAGCGCTAAGAAAATTATGACCATTGTTACCACTTTTTGTTTTAAATCAAGGCACCAATCAAGAGCACCGAGTTTCGTTTCCCACCCTAGAAGCGCTAAATCTTGCTCGTTAGCGTTATTTCTCCAACATCTTCTCGAGGAGAGCCTAATGTCAAGCATTTGAAATGGCTCAGCACTTCTCCGCTACTTTTACTCCAGTGTGGAAAATGAAGTGATGGCGCTCACCGGGTGGGCCCTGCTGTAATGAGATCGCTCGGGAACCCAGTAGCTAGAATGTGTGAAATATTGGTCCTCGAAGTTCGGGAAGTTAACTGTCTGTGCGGTACTTGGGCTGGAAACATTCTGTTAAAATTTCAGCTTCTCAACTTTTCTGGTCCTCGAGTTAGCAATTACCCTGTCAAAAAATTTCATGTGTCGGTACGTGGAAACCACACGTATCAGGGGGCTAGATTTGACGTCTTCAAGTTTTACAGGGGGCTGGAGACATAACGCCAAAATTTCAGCTCCTACCTTTCCTAGTTTTCGAGTTGGCTGCTTTCCCGCCAAAAACTTTCACGGGGCCGTACCTGAAAACCACATATGCCTGGGGGCTGAATTTGGTAAATTTAAGTTGTACATGGGCTGAGAAAATTCCCTAAAAATTTCAGCTCCTTAGCTTTCCTGGGCCCCAATTTAGCGATCTTCCCGCCAAAACTTTCGAGCGCTCACACGTGGAGGTTGGTACCGCGGCCCTGGAATGGCACTTGGCCAGGGAACCCATTGGCGAAATTTTGGCGCGAAACTTGCTTGGTACCGAGTTGAAATATCTGGACAGATGCACACGCACATGCATGCACACGCACACACCGAGTCTGTCCCACTATGCGTTTTTGCATTTGCATATATGCAAAAACGAATAATAAATTTTACTACTGCCATGCTTTTTTGCTGGTTTTAGAAAAAATCTTCCCACCCCTAATAAAATGGGCCTTAAACCCCAAATGGTGACTTCAGTGGAAATGGCTTTTGTTTCAGAAAATAACACCAGATCCAAGCTCCTCTCAAAAGCTCATTGCCGAAGAAGCAAAAAGTTACAATGTCCTGTGCGCAACCGGTGATTTATCATATGCCGCTTATACGGATGATTTTTGTCAAATTACCAAGGACAATGTTGTCTGTTACGCTTTTAAAAACTGAAAAGTGAAGAATTAGGAAACCGTTTCAAATAGCATAATTCACAAAGGTCGACAAAACTGGTAGGTAAATGTTTCTAAGTAAATTTTTTCTCTAAATCGATGAGGAAAGTTCGAATTAGGCAGAATGGTGAAGTTTTTAAATGTATTAGCGATGAAACGAAACGAACGAGACAAAATTAGGCGATCATGGTTCGTTTTATTTATTAGCTGTGCGATGCAGCTGCTTTTATAATTAAGAGCGTGACAAAAATATTGATGTTGATTCAAAATTTAAAAGAAAACAAAAATTTTTAGGTCTGAAATAAGGCATGTGGTCTTCATCCTCTGATTTACTACTACATAACACTGTCGGAGAATAGTTTTTGATTGCCTGAGCATCAGTTCAGCTTACTGAAACGCAGACGCATCCAAAAGTGCTGAAACTCGTCTGCTCTGTTAAATTCTTGAGCCTGAATGAAGTCACGAGAAAGTGATTTCAGTTGCACGTAACAACTGCCTCTTTTGCAATTTTTCATTCTATTTGCGTTACTTTTAATTTGCAGTAAATGGTGAATTTTGTTACAATCATCTGGGTCAGGAGCGTTGATCGGTTACTGTTACTGCAGTGTAACCGCAATCCCTGAACACTTGTGCACGAACAAGTTATGTTCTGCGTGACGAATTTATGTTATAATTTATCGAGCTTTTCAAGACAGCAATCAAACCCTCTGAAGCAGTTGCTGATGAACTGTAGAAAGAAAATTTAACGGCTCTTTCTGAACTGTGTTTACAGGGCTTGCAGATGAGGTTATACACTTGAAATTACGATCATGCTTAAAATATTGCCTCAAAATGCTTTTTTTTTGTAATATGAGTTTCAAAACTGCATGCGATCTCTGTGACGTAGAATTTAATTTGGAATTCTGCAAAAAGTGATGTCCATTAAAAATGTTCATTAAAAGTAATGTGCAAAAATGAATAATCACCAAATAAAAAAATATTAGCTCCAAGGAAACGTCATTTTACATGCATTTTTTGTTTTATGATGCTTACAAAAGGGAAGTTGTTATCGTTTTTGTACATATGCATACGTATTTGAATCACAGATCAAACAGTCCTCTCAGTGCGTTAGCCTCTCAAATAATTAAACTCAAAAAAAAAAAAGAAACGAAATCAGTACCTTCTGCAGAAGTTGATGAAAAACCGGTATATACTGAAAAAATAATAGGCGACGTTTGAGATATGCTCAGTGAGCGAAAGGGCAGAATAGTGTACTGGTTTAGCGTGTTGCTTTCGAATGTGAGAACGAGAAAATTGATTCCCTCCCAGTCCGTGTTTAATTGCTAAAAAGGTTTATTTGTAAGATAGCGTTGGAATTTTTCAGTCGTAGTTTCCGACCAAGGACCACGGCCTTGATCTCAGGTCGCAGACTTACTTTGCGTTTAACTCGTCTACCTATTATTAATTTAAAAGTGAGTAAAAGTGAAAGCCAAGCAAGAAGCAACACATTTTGAACGGTGCTTTTTTCACCTCATAATCATCACTGCTAATAAAGAATAATAAATAGCTGAGCTAATGGCTTTAGGAATGAAGTGTACGAATGAAATAATTCACTAATTCCGAAAGTGAAATGAAATTTTGCGGCATGCTGACATTAAAACCCAAGCTGGAGTGCACCAGGCTCTCCGGTGCAATCATACGTTTTGCGCTAAACTCGCAGATCGCTATTAGCAAGAATGATCCCTACACTGTAGCTTAAAACTTGGGCGGCTGATATTGGCCGTGCTTTGATCCTTTCCGGCATGCAGGAGGAAGGGCGTCAACTGGGATGAAGGTGGTACATTATAGAGCCAAATGGACATCCAGGTGCATGATTACCGGTTTTTTGCACGAAGTCCGGTCGTTTTTTCAGTAAATGCTCGCTTTGTGAAAAAATGACACATGCAAATTTTCAGTTCACTGAAAATTGAAAGTATTGCTCGAGCGGTCATTTGTCAAAAAATCCATGTTCATTTGCATATACAATTGCGATTCAGGCCCGAGTTGCTAACGATTTTTGGATTGAGGAGCTGCTTGAGGCTGTATTTGGGGAGCTAGAGAGCCGGGTTTAAAATTTTTATCTCGCACGTGCATAGAGAATATTCCCGCAAAGTCTCAGCTTCCTACCTTGTCTGATTCGCGAAATCGTTTCGCGCCAACATTTTTCTTTGGGTGTCCCGTATGCGGGGTTTAGGCACGGGGTAGGAACATATATCCAAAGTTTCAGCCTTCCAGCTTTCCTGGTTGCTGAAATGAAAGTGGGTGACAAAACGCATTCGCTTTCCGAACACACACACACACACACACAGCCTCTCGACAATATGCGTTTTTGCATATATTCAAAGTTTCAGCCTCCCAGCTTTCCTGGGTGCTATAGCGCTGCACAGCAAAAACGCATTAAAACGCATAACAATATACGTATGACCCCCAAGGCATGTAAATTTTTCACTTTTTATGCGTTTTTACCTATTTGCAAATTGCAACCCAGGCTGGGACGCACTGGGCGAGCCCGTGCGATCAAATATTTTTGCACCGGACTTGAAGTACTCAGGTCACTGATTGCATGAATGGCTTTGTTTTACACCTACCTCTTACGGCCACTAGCATAAATCACCATAAATTTTGCAAAGTAAAGTACAACTTCCAATTGACAGTCGTTCTTTAAAAGTAATCTAGTTGTTCAGTAAGAAATTTTTTCGCCAAGACTTTTATGTGACCGTACATAAGAACCGCGCATGCCTCAAGCTGAATCTGAAATACTTAAAGTGTACTTGGACAGTTGGAACATTCTCCCAAAAAAACAGCTTTCCAGTTTTTCGGATCATCGAGTTAGCGATTTTCCTGCCAAAACCTTCACATACCCGTACGTGAGTACTCTACGTGTCTGGAAAGCTGAATTTGAAATTTTTAAATTGCACTTGGACAGGGAATATCTCCTTAAAATTTCAGCCTTCGAGCTCTTCTGGCTGCCGAATTAGTAATTTTTCTGCACAAACTTCTATATGCCTTTACGTGAGTTCCATGCGTATTAAGAGGCTGAATTTGAAATATTTGAGTGGTGCTTGGATAGGGAACATTACCCCAAAATTTCAGCTTTCTAACTTTCCTGGTACCCGAGTTAGCAGTTTTCCCCCTAAAATTTTCATACGCTCTTACTTGGGTACCACACACACCTGGGGCTGAGGTTGAGATCTTTAGCTATACATGCACAGGGAATATTCCTACAAAGTTTCAGCTCCTCAGCTCGTGTGGTTCTCGAGCTCGCTTTCCCGCCAAAAAATTTGCATATTTTTTTAAAACGTCCGTACGCGAAACCCAGGCGTCCGCGAAGAATGAAATTAAAACGGGAGGGTCGCGCATGGTATAGGCACATATCCTCAAAGTTTCAGCCTTCTAGCAAAATTAAAACGGGAGGGTCGCGCATGGTACAGGCACATATCCCCAAAGTTTCAGCCTTCTAGCTTTTTCTCGAGTTGAAACTGGGTGAAAAAAAGTGCGAACACACAGACACACACGCAGACACACACGCACGCACACACGCACATACACACACACACAGCCTTTCCCTAATATGCGTTTTTGCAACTTAAATATATGCAAAAACGCATGAAAACGTATATTGCGACGACCTTGTCCGTTTGGGTAAGTGTGTGCATGTTTGTGTGTGTGTCTGCCCGTATACTTCAACTCGGCAACCAAGTAAGCTCCAGCACCAAAATTTTACTGGCAGTTTTCCCAGCCAACTGCCATCTCAGGATCGCGGTACAAACCTTCATACACGTCTGGGTCTCGTTTGCGAGTGTGTAAAAACTGCTAGCTCGGGAACGAGAAAAGATAGAAAGCTGGAATTTTGAGGTTATGTTCTCCATCCACATATAACTCAAAGTTTTCAAATTCAGCCTTCAATTGTGCGTAGCTCTTGCGTAGGGCCCCGTGAGCGTTCCTGGCGTGAAAATCGCTAGCTTGGGAAGCAGGAAAGCCAGGGGGGTGGAATTTTACGAAAATTTTCCCAGCCCATGCTCAACTCAAAGTTATCAAATTCAGCCACTATGCATATGTGATTCTCACGCGCGTCTCCGTGAAAATTTTTGGTGGGAAGAATTGCTAACTCGGGAAAGAGGAAAGCTGGAAGGCTGAAGTTTTTAGGGGGTGTTCCCAGCCCATATACAACTTAAAGTTATCAAATCCAGCCCCCAGGAATGCGTGACTTCCACGTATGGCCCCGTGAATTTTTTTAGGGGAAAACGGCTAACTTGGGAAGCAGGGAAGTCGGCAGGCTGAAATTTTAAGGGAATATTCAAAACCCAGGTACAACTTAAAGGTTTCAAATTCAGTCCCCAGGCACGCCCCCAGGTCAATTGCGGCTTCGTGAAATTTTTAACGGAAAAACCGCTAGCTCGGGAACCAGAAGAGATGGTAAGCCGCGATTTTAGGAGAATATTCCCTGTCAAATACAACTTAATAGTTTCAAATTCAGCCTCCGTGTACGCGTGATTTTCGTGTAGGGCGCCTAAATTTTTGGCTGGGGAATTTCTCATTGAACAGCTAGGTCTTTTCAAAAAAAGACCGCTAGGCGGGAATTGTTTATTTTCGCTTATGCAAAATTTACTATGATTTGCGGTACTGAGCGTAAAAAGTAGATGTGAAGGAACAACCATTCATGCAGTAGACCTAATTACTTCAATTAAATTTATGTGAAATATATGTGTTGTGTGCGTGCATGGGGTGTATATATACATATATGTGTGTGACGGAGGATCTACGGGAACCAACTGTGGAAGCGCGTTTTGCCTTAAATTTATAAAAGTTTCACGCGACAATATAACAACCCAGGCGAGAATACACCAAATGTGAATTGAATCACGAATCACAATAGACAGGTCTAATAAAAGGCGCAAGAGATAAGCGAATACGAGAACGTATAAAACGCTGCCTGGGGACAGATACTTCGAAACGAGACGATGAAGGGGACACCGACTGTGCTGAGAGTGGGACCGTGATTGATCAACGGGGTTACTTTTATAGGACAGTGATTCCACTAGCGCTGAAATGCACGCTATCCTCATTTCGGATCTCCCTAGAGCAGTTCCGTCCGTTATCGTAGCTTCATGATCTTCGCGAGCAGCTAATGTAACGTTGGGAAAGACTTTCCTTGGTAAAGGAAAGATTTAGTGTGGGATATCAGAGCCTGGGATCTTGGAACGGATCCCGATTGTTCTTTTGTTTTTTCGCAATTTTTTTTATTTCTTCTTTTTTTTTTTTGATTACTAAAATGTTTCACTTTAAAATATGTTCGACGTTTTCCTTTTGGAGTGAGGGGAGAAGGGGGAGTATGGGTTCTCCCTTACGGTCCACGTTTGGTGCAAAAACGCATGATCACACCGACTCGCTCGGTGCGTTCCAACCTGGGACTGTTTTTTTTTTCGATTAATACACTTTTTTTGACGTATTAAATTTGTTAAGGTGGCAGCAGCCTTCTGTTATAAAAGTATTTCTTATAGGTAAAAAAAGCATTTTTTTCGTGTAGTTACAAAAAATGGCCTTTTCAAGAAAAAACCCCAGTCTGGTTTCAATCAGTTTGATGAAACTGGGCTTTTTTTGAAAAGGCCTTCAACCTTTGAATTTTTTAAATTCCCCTTGTGTCTTCTGACAATGGTAGCAAGATAGACCTTAATTGTAGCTGAAGAGGCTTCAGATAACAAAGTTGTTAATGGCAACCAGCCAATCACAGCGGAATAAATGAATGGCCTGAGAGTGATGAACTGGTTCGTTATTCTAGGATTGTTTCAGAGGCGAGCCAAATTTGGATAAGCGCTCACACTCTTGCATGCTGCTTCTTATTTACAAAGCGTGTGGAGCACTTGTCGAAGATTTTGACCAATTCATTGCAAGAAAAGTGCGAAAATTTTAGGTTATGTTTGTAGCTTGAAACAGTTGTACAGTGTCTGCTTCTAACTGAATATAAAGTCATAGAACGAAACAGTGGAAAGCTTAACAGTATACAGTCTGCTTTGCACTTCAAACTAAATTTTAAAAGTTCGAGTATGAGCATGAAAACAAAAAATAGGCCAATAAACAATGGAAACTGAACAACGATATTTGGCCATTTGCATTAGTTTGCGTAAGTAACTGCCACTTCAGACGCACACGTCGCCTCAACATTAATTTAGCCACACCCCGGTGGGTATACAATTGAGTTTTTCATTACTTTTTGTCGGGATAAAAGCATAGCAAGGGAGAGATTGAACAGAGTTAGGTTTACAGCATGGAGGCAGAGAAGGGGGATGTCAGATCTGTTCAATTTAGTCGGTGCTGAACAGAAAGCGTGCAGAATCCTTCAAATTTTACATGATGTGATTTTGATAGCAAAATGGGGACAAAAATGCGTGCGCTGTTCTGAACTGGAAAGCACATGATAAGCAACGTTTTTGACTTTAATCCAAAATTTTCTTTAACCAATGAAGTATAATGTATAATAAAGAACTAGGTTCACCCATATCACGTGTTTAACCGATGTTTCTGCGAGTCAGTCATGCGTTTTGAGTTCGGTTTTTCTACTCTCTTCTGCTTGTCATCCGTTGCCTACTGCTTGCGCAAACAGCTTCATCAAATGTTGTTTGTGAGCATTCAAGTGATTCATTTGTAAAACTAATATATCACTGAATTTAGTTTTATAACAATTATCCCGTGATGAGTAAATTACATTCGAGTATCGGACAAAAGCAGCTTTTTACAATTTTTGTACTTTTGGGTCAAATTTGTCCGAAACGGATCCGGAAAAGGATTACGACCTGCAGCGACAACAGCAGCTGCAACAACAACAACAGTCGCTAATCTCTGGAAGAGTGTCCACTGATGTCAATAAAATTATTGAAGTCATTTTGATCCTCTTTCTACTGATAAGTTTCTATTAGATTTGCATTACTTTTATTAATTATAGTTCGAAAGTCATGACAGCTTCTTTTTGCTCTACAGCTTTTCCAGCCCGAGTGAGTAATTTATAGAGGTAGCTTTTATAACGGCCTGGAATCAGTGTAACATCTTTACTGATATTCAATCAGGATAAGCTTTTGTTGCAGCGCAAATCCAAGATAGCTTTTATTGCGGTATTTTTGCGCCTGCATTTTGGAAATGCATTTTTTATGCCTTAAGAATTTATAAAACCCCGCTTTTGGGGAAGCATTTATACTTTCTTATGCCCAAAGAAGCGCGGAAGGAAAAATGCGTGCTACAGTAGCGGTGTTAAAGCTTGAAATTGGGCGCCGGATAAGGGACCGAATGGACCTGAAGAACACATGTAGATTTCACACGAATCTGTTTATACTTGATTCCGACATTCCAGCGACTATAATTCGCACCATCAGACATCAAATCCTTTTTGACTTATCAGGACGGGGTAATGGAGGAGGGGAAA